GCGGGCAAGTCTTAAATGTTATATTGGACCTGTACTGGGATTCGGAACCAACATACGAGCCCGATACCAACGTGATCAATCATTAATTAGTTTCTTTAAATCCAAAGAATTCCAGTTTAACAATTTCCAATAAAAATTCATTACTCGGGCTAGGGACCTCGAAATTCGATTCCGGGTATACGCCCAGGTCCCATATTTTCCTGCGAACCCTTCGGAACCGTCAAAACACGAATTCGGGTCCGTTTGCTCAAAATGTTGACCAAAGTCAAACTTAGCCTTTTAAGAAAATCCTAAGGAGTCAAATATGCATATTTCAATCCAAACTCTTCCAAATCCCGAACCAACCATCCCCGCAGGTCATAAATTAGTTAAAGCAAGCACCGAGAGTGTTATTTAGGGGAACGGGGTTGTAAAAAGGCAAACGACCGGTCGGGTCGTTACAGGGGGAACCTCACTATTATGCAATTTTGGAAGAAGGCTGCCATAGCCAAGACATGCTGAGACCTAGCTCACAAGCAAGATAAACTATGGATCAGGTGGACTCATACATATTATATTAAAAGCCAATAGTTTACTAGTGTACCAGCACCCCAGCAAGCATGCTGGATGGTGACGAAAATATTTGAAGCTAGAGGAAACATCGTGAATGTGCAGTTTGATCAGAAAGCAAAGAAGAGTCTAATAAGGCATATTTACTTCAACTTGCTCAGTGACTACCCAAGAGTTGAGTGGAAGATTCTTGTGTTCAACAATGCAGCGCGTCCAAAAGCAAAGTTTATAATGTGGTTGATGATGTACGACAGAGTTTTAACTGCTGATAGACTGAGTAAATGGGGGATGATTATCAACACCCAATGTGCGTTGTACCAGATACAAGAGGAGGCACGAGACCATTTACTTGTGCAATGTGAATATACAAGGAGAATCTGGCACAAATTGTGGCAGTGGATAGGGATACAAGAGGTGAGTTGTGATGACCCGATAGGTCATCTAGAGTTTTAGAACCTAATTTTGTGTTTTGAAGCCTCAAATACTTATTTTTAGCCTTCCTCGATTTGCATGCGCATTTCAAATGTTTTTCCGAAAAGCTTTTATGTTAAAAACTAACAAAATATTAAATTTTTGCCTTACAATTCATTTGAGTTAACGTCAGTCAACATTTTGAGCAAACAGATCCAGATCCGTGGTTTGACGCTCCGGTGGGTCCGCGTCGTGATTTAAGACTTGGGCGTATGCCCGGAATCAAATTCGGATGTCCCTAGCTCGAGTTATCGCTTTTTGTTGAAATTTAAAAGTTTAAAAGCTTAATGACTTTGAATGTTTGACCAATATTTGACTTTATGGATATCGGGTCCATATTTTAGTTTTGGAACCCGGTATAGGTCCATTACTATATTTATGACTTGTCTGTCAAATTTGGTGAGAAACGGAGTTGGTTTGACGTGATTCGGACGTCCGGTTGTTAAAATAGAAGTTCATGAGTTTTCTTGAAAATTTTATTTGATTTGATGCTCAATTCGTAGTTCTAGGTGTTATTTTGGCGATTGATCGCGCGAGCAAGTTCGTATGATGTTTTTGGACTTGTGTGCATGTTTGATTTGGAGCCTCGAGTGCTCGGGTGAGTTTCAGATAGGCTACGGAGTGAATTTTGGACTTAGGAATGTGTTGGTGTGCTTCAGTTTTGGTGCATGCCTCATACCTCGCAATTGCAAGGTCAGGCTTCACATTTGCGACCTCTATCAGGTTTCTCGCAATTGCAAAGAGTAGCTGGGACACCTCAGGTTCGCATTTGCGAACTAGACTTCACTTTTGCAAAGTGGGACTGGGAGGGGCTTGATCGCATTTTCGATCATTTTGGTCGCAATTGCGGAGGATCAATGTTCGCATTTGCGAACAAATCATCGCAAATGCGATAATAGCAGAGATGTTGAGACTTCGCATTTGAGAAGGTTTTCTCGCAATTGCGATATCTGCAACTGGTCTAATAGCTTAAAACGGGATTTTCTCTCATTTTTCAAATTCCAAAACAAGAAAATCCTAGAGGCGATTTTCCCAAGAACCCTTCTTCCCCAATCCATTAGTAAGTGATTCTAACCTATTTTTATTCAATTTTTATTACATGTCATAAGGTTTCAACCTAAAATCTAGTGTTTTCATGGTGAAAATTGGGGGATTGGGTAGGATTAGAGATTTTTGTAAAATTGAGATTTAGACCTCAAATTGAGGTCGGATTTCAAAATAAATCACATAATCGGGCTCGGGGGTGAATGAGTAATCGGGTTTTTCCTACTTTACTGTTCTTTTCATTCCAGACAGTTGTATTTATTTCAAACCCTGTTTGTAGAGATCTAGAAGCTCGTGAATTGTGACTCTAGATTCGGGTGTACTAGATATTATTGGCTTTTATATTATTCCGCACTCAGTTTTAGTTTTATTTCGGCTTAATTGATTTTGTTGTTCGAATTGGTTAAAATTGGCTAATAAACCCTCAAGTGTTGGCTTGCCTAGCAAGTGAAATGTTAGGCGCCATCACGGTCCCGAAGGTGAAAATTCTGGGTCGTGACATGAACACCATGAACTGGGTTGACTTTAGTCGATGAACCATTAAATGTGCTAAAGGGAAATCTCAACAGGCGCAAGTCTTTAAATTGGTGTATAAATAGACTAGTTACCATATATGGATTAAGAGGAATCTTAGGATATTTGAAAACAAAAGCAAGTGCTGGGAGGACATTGCCAAAGAGATAGCCTATGTCTGCTGTGCACGAGCCTCTTCTGGGATTGTCCACCAACAAAGGAGCTGTCTTTTTTGAAACATCATGGTAGAATATATATATATAT